ATAATAGACGCCATCGCCTCTGTAACTGTGGAGATATTGCAGTAAATGTGGACTGAAAACGAATATCGGTTAGACGTGCCGAGGGCTATCAATGGTGCACACGTAAAAGTGTGCTGACACGTCAATAAAAATTGTTTGAGCTGGGCTAGAAGATGTTGAAAACTGCATGGTTGTATTTCCTTGATTAGTTAATTATTAACAGTTTCAAATGCCCGTATGTTTCACTTACCTAACTATAATCATTCTGTTGAAACTCTCATTTACATATTTTTTCGTTCATCTTTCAATGAAAACCACTTTAATTTACATAATTGACACTCCTTTAAAATGCTTTAAGTGCATAGGTCTGTGTATATTTGGTTTCTTTTATTTTTCTTAGTGATTTCCTAATTATGGATGCTCATCATAAACATTTCTTAATTCATAAAATGGAGAAACTTGTTTGATGAATATTTACTTAGTAAGAAAATTTGCAGTCTGGAGTTTTATAGTATTAAAACTCATGCAGCAACAACAACAACAAAAATGAGTTTGTTTAATTTTTTCTGATAATGGGACACAAATGCCGACCTACTGATCCATAATACAGCACGCTAACCACCTGGAACATACTTGGCCAGTTTTAGTTTAGCAAAAATCTGCACAAAACTATCAAAACCTGGTGTTATGCAATATATGTCACTGGGGGCTGATTGGTCACAAAGCAGACAAAAATCCAATAATGTTAATCCAGAATTGGTACGTTACTCCTACAAATAATATAAATATTTATATATGTATATACACACACACACACACTCTCTCTTCAGCAAGTCCATCGAAATTGATAACAAAGTCGATTATCTTTATAATTGAAAAAAGTGCCATAAATTAATTTATTTAAAAGTATATTTTAATATAGTGTTTAGATGTTAACTGTGATCTTTCTTTTAATTCAAAATTAATGATGTAGAACTTCGAAAAGTTTTTGATGTTTTGGCTCTGGGTTAAATATATATAGTAAATTTCATATATGTTCAATTAAGTAATTTATGCTTTTGTTGATGGTAAAGATGCCAATTGTTCTCAGAGAACTAAGCAATTTTCTCTTAAAAAGTCAACCATGAATTCCAAAATTCCAGACATTAAAATGAATGGTGTAAGGATGTTTTGAAGTTTAAGTTTCTACCATCACAAAAGAACCATGTGTTGAATATACTTCTTTGACGATTTTCTTTTGAAAAATAAAATTAACACAGTACACCCCATATTGTATTTTTTATTTATTTTACTTAAATCACTAACATACATTTCTACTACCTGAAAACTCATTAGCAAGTCTTACCATTTTATAGCACTCAATAATGAACAAGTAGATTCTAAGGTGAAACACAACCATCAAACACTAACATCACTCATGGTAAACAAGACAGGTCACAATCAATAAAACATATAATACTATAACTTTAATGATATCAAGGGGAAAGTTATTGAAAGAGTTATAAAAATTTTATTTCCATGTACAATTTTTAAGTTTGGACGTAATTTTACTATGCAAGTCTACCCCTCACATTCCATTTTTAGCCACTAATGTCCTGTTAGAATAAAAACGTTACATCTGTAATTAAATGAAATTACAATAATAAATTCCTTATTTATTTTTTCTTGTTGGTGGCAGTCAATGTGCACTTAGAGGGGTAAAATTTTTAAAATGTTATCCTTTAGCACCCTTTGATGGTTGCAAAAGAACTATTACACTTTTTTTAAACTCTATCAAATATGTGATATCAAGTTATAAACAATTCTTGTTTTTGCTCAAAAAGCCTATAGAAAAAATTAAGAACCACTAAATCCATGATTAAGGACTACACTGAAAAACCCAGTTTTTAAGGTAATAGTATCTAGAATTTAGGCTAGAGATGAATTCTGATAAATTATTTCATTAGATAAATTAACCAATTATACAATTGTTTGTAGGACTGACAATTTTTAAATCAAATATATCTTTTGTTTTCATTTAATTATTTTGTTTTCCTGGTTAAGAATGATAAGAATACATTCCCTCTGTTTATGAGCACATATATGAAATAGATTATAAAACTCAAACCACTAACTTAAATTCTATAATTAAGAATTTGACATATGACACTACAATTTGAAGTTCTTTGTTCTTGCCAATGTCTTTTATTGTTATTTTTGTGGCCCTGTTAGAAACTTTTTATTTTCTTTATTGGTTTAACTGTACAGCATTAGTCAGCACTAATTAGTCAGCCAGTGAGAGATCACCTCTAATATATTTCCTTAACTTTATACTTTGCAATGATATAAATATACAACAATGAAACTTAGTATATAATGACTAAAATTATCTTTTATGCTATGAAGTTATTCAAGGCTGTGAAAATTGAACTCTTCAACCCCCCCCTTGACATTCTTTCTACATCATCATCAAATCAATTACAGTACATTTAGTATGAAGGACCTAAGCTATACAACAACTGCAGTTCTATAAAAAAAAAACTGATAAAGTTAAGCACTACCAAAATCACTAGTAGACTACTGTTACTTGCATTACAGAAGATATGCAGTAGTTTTCTATGTTTGTTAAGCATGGCACTATGAGTACCAATCTTGAGGTAAATCTTACATCTGCTGCCAAACTACAAGTATTATGTATAAACATTATTTTAATTCATAAAAAAATCTTCAAAGGAATCCAGATGTATTTAAAAATTTCATCTTCAACAAGTTTTCTTAAAACATTAAAATATCTACCTTTTATATCTGGAACTTACAGATTTGTGTTGTAGTGTTGTTTTATACAATGATTCTTTAACAAGTAGTTGGGCTGAGTATGGCATTTCTAAAACAATTTAGTGCTAGGAGAAAAAACTGCAGGAGAGGGTGAGGATTAATCAGTGACATGAATTGTATCAAAACAGGTAGTCAGAAGTTTTATTAGATATTACAATACAATGAAACTGTGATAGATAAGGTTGAAGTTAACAATGAAAACTTATATTTTGGCATTTACTGATAAGTTCCTTGTGGCCTGAAATTATGTTTGTCTTCTATATAATATGTACAGAGGACAACCAACTAAAACAGAAACTTTAAAAAAAACTGTTTATCATAATCATGCAATTTGAGAAGTGAAGATTTTTGTTCTTTGAGGCAGATACAACTGTTGGATTCACACACCATGCTTGTTTTGGCAATCAGTGATTTGAATTATAGATGAACAAGATGAAATATATATCAAAAATGAAACATTTGGATTCCTTTGAGAAGACATGTATTTAAAGGTGTACTTAGACCTTGAAAACAAATACAAAATGGAGTAAATGTCCACAACAATCAACAACATGTGATAAAACAGTAACAAAATCACTTTCAGTTACAAGAGCTACATGAACATGTCAGATCTATCTCGAACATTTTTTTTATTGGACAAACAAATATGAAATGTTTCAAGGCAACATCACTTTTTTTTTTTATCATATGAACATTAATGAGAGAAAGGTACTGGTAATGAAGTGCTATGCACTAGGTAAGGCTCTTTGTTTTAAGTGAAAAGGTTCATCAAGAGTAAGAGAACAACCATAACATGTTCTTTTTACACTACTAGTCTGGCTATTAATGTAAACATGGCCATTATTTACCAGTACCACACTCTTAAACACACAGGGGATTCTCCAATGCTATTCTTAATTTTCAATAACTACTAAATTTCACTATTCTTTCAAGCCAGTATACTCTTTTAAGATATCAGTTCTTCGATAATTAAATAACTACATCACCTAGCCTAACACAGTTCCAGGTCAGTACCCTTTTAAGTTTTTCAACAAAGTAATCCTTCATCCTCTGACATCTCTGCTAAAAGTTATGTTGTCCAAAATAAAAGCAGCTACAATGTAATGATCATGTTGTACTAAACAACAAAGTAATTCTATTTTCACTGTAATATTCACCAAACAAGTCCTTATACCATCCTCAGAATAAGCTTTCATTACCAAGTCATACACATCATTAGCAGCTTTTCCTTTTCATCACAATTAACCTTCTAACTGACTTCAATTAATAAGTAATCATACGATTCTCTCTCAAAAGACTTGGTAATTAGATTTCACCAACAAGTATATCCATCCTGAATATAATTTCCACCAAATGATCAGACCAACAACAACAACAAAAAAAAAAGAAGACAATTCTGCAGATATTCCATGTAGTTGAGAAGCCTTATGTCATAGGATAATTGTTTACTCAGAAAACTCCATCTGTCCAAGAAACAAAATTATTACAGCAAATTTCACTATCTTTCAGTAGTATGCATACAAACGTTTACTACAAATTACAAGAAGCATTCCTAATATTACAAACCCACGAAATGCAAGGAGCAGAATAAAAACTCAATCTTCCTAATGACAGCCTCAAAATCACTATTTTTTCAACCATAATGCCAACTTGTCTATCAATAAAACACAAGCAATTATCAGACTTGCATTATAAGCTAGAACATCAGCAAGCCTAATAAATTCATCTTAATTAAAATACAATCAAACCTTACATGCTCATTTTATTACCCCAAATATCAACAAACTTCACATACCAATCTTAGCAACTAGAATACCAAGAAACAACTTCAGAACTTTTCTAACAGACACTAACTAGCATACTATCAAATATACCTAATACTTTAGACAAATATAGTTCAAATATTAAAAGGGTATTTTTTTAAATGTTTTTCATATTTTGAAATGGTAAATTACATACAAATAAATCCTTGTTTTCCAATTGCACAACACTACATCCCAAAATCCTTGAACAATAAACATACATATGAAGATTATCCTTAAATATTTTTGGTGCATAGTCATTGCACATTTTTTTGTCTTATTCCTTTTTTTTTATACATTTTTTGCTATATTCAACACAGATAAAAACAAAATTACCAGTATTGTCCAACTGTATAAAATTACATGTAATTTTCTGAAATAACAAAAAAAACTTTACTGTTATTTCAGGTTGAACAATTGAAAGTATTAAAATATGTAACTTTAGATCCTTGAAAAATTGGATATTTGAACAATACTTCTAAATCAAAAAAAAAAAAAAACACTGAAGTTGTGTACAACATTATTATTATCTATTTTAACATACAAATATAAAAAATTCAAAGAAACTGTCAAAAATTAATATGTAAACTACAAAAAGATTTTCCTAAACATCTTTCCAGGTGCATAATTGAAAAAAAGTTTTTTCCTTAATCTACATTTTAACTCGGTAACTTTTGAACCTTTTCTACTGTCTAGGTTAATGCTGAAAAAACCAATGTATTAAACTTTATGACAATTGTATACACTTGGATCAAACCATTTTCACAAGAGATTCTAAGACTTTTGCTTATCCTGACCCCATTTTTTTTAATACTTATTTATTTATTTGTAGCCTACCTTTTGCACTTATATCATATCTTTAACATTAGATACTACTGTACTAAATGTTTATTAAAATAATGACCAATATCATATTTCTAAAATCAGATACTGTAGTGCTACAATTTGAAAATCACTAAGTCAATGCATCTTTTAATTCCTTTTAAGTTACAATTATAAAATACTCAACAGGTGATGCTAATAAACAGTAATTCATTATTGAATTTGAATTATATAATTCTAAAATTTGTTTGATTGAACAATCAAGAAATCTCCAAATGACAGTCTTTCAGAGAAATGAAAGAAAAAGAGATTGATCTTTTTCCATACCCTTGTAATAATAAGGTTCTGAAAATGATAGGAAAAAAGAAAAAAAGCCATCTTGCTGATGATGGAAAAAGCACAAAACATCAATAATAATAATTATCTAAGATAATCAAAAGAAATGAAAATAATAGAATAACTCATATATAGATCTTGCAGAGAATGCAGAAAGGTTATATGTGGCCCTGTATATTAACTACTTATCCAAGTTTGAGGTAGTAGTCACTTTTTTATATTTTTTTTACTGAAAAGTGTACACTACATAATATCTTATGTTAATGGCACACCACTAAGATAATATAAGAACAGTGTGGCTTATTGGTTAGTTCTTTTGATTTATATTTGCAAAACTGTGAATTCAAACTTTGCTTGTGCCTAGTTGTTTGTATCTATCCAGTTGAAAAATGTGTACAAGATAATAACTTTTTTTGTGATGTTCTGTGAATGTGTCACCATTTTTTATCAATGGAAACCACAGTTAAGCATCAGCCCCATCTGCCTTTCAGGCACAAAAGGGATTACCTTAATTTACTAATATTATGTTATGTACCTTTTCACTCTTAATCAAGTATACAAACATTTGAATGCACTGCAAGGCAATCAACCTGTGTTTTTTGTCTAAAAACTCATTTGCAGGTGATCTAGTGATTAAGTATCCCCATATACAAGTTACTACAGTATGCAATTATATCAAGTCATGATGACATTCATACTCATCTAGCAGGAAAATCATCTGCTCTCTAAAAAGAAAAACAAATAAACTTCTGTGTGTTAAGACATATTATAGTGTTAAGAAAACCTTGTCACACAACACCCAATAAGATTGTCAATAACAAAAGTACAAAACCATAACCTGAACATCATTAAAGGCTGAATTCCTAAAAATGAGCTCGGAGAAAAATATAAAACAGACACCATATCAGCATAGCAATCCACACCTCAAAAGGAAAACAGAAAGATTAAACAATTAAATAACAAAGTATTAAAAAGTGTATTTCAAATGTTCAAAAACTCTTCAAATTATTTAAGTAAGCCTAATTATATTCACTTAAACATGTTCAAATACAATTTCAAGTTAGTTTTATTTTGTACTATCTGCCAGAATATTAATATGCTTAAACTACAGGGCTTTAAGGAAAGCTGGTCACTAAATACGGAAATGTTTAGAATATTTTACATTGCCTTAAAATATGGTACCACCAATAATGTTTATTTTTTCTTTGGAATTCTAACTAAAGGTGACCTACTATCAATCATCTACATGTTTTATATTTTGATGCAGTAATGCTAATCAGAGTAGTTATACAAGCAACTCAAAAATCGAATACAAAAGTACATCTAAAGATTCTGGGTGTCACACTACCTGGACAATGAGTGCAAAATTTGTAATTAGTTTTCAGTTATTTTGCAATAGTACTCTACTATTTTAATCTATTTCACAGATTCATAAGAGTATGTTTATAATTTTTAGCAACACTCGATCAACCTGCTTTCACTACCTTGTCTTTTTTTTTCCCCCTAGTTTCAGGAAAATATTTGAAATGTAAAAAACACAGGCTGCACTTCAGGTCTCTTTATAACAAAGTATTTGTGATCATAGAATTTGGTAATTGTAAAAAAAAAAAAATGTAACAAAACAGTGCACAAGTAAAGGCTGAACACTCAACTTATGAGAGCTAAAGTCAATTATAGATAATTTGTGCTTTCTTCATCAAAAGCAGGGCTTCCAAAAAGTATTTTTGAACATAAGTATTGCTTCTCATGGTTTTTGGCATTTACCAACAGATACATGAGTAAGAACAAACAAATACCACCACATCCAGTATTACCAAGTATGATAAGTTCTAAACCTTAGAAGTATACACATCTACCTTTCTACAATTTTCTTTTGTCCAAGATAAAGATGGTAAACAATAAAGCAAATCAGTTGCTTTTTGTGAGAAAACTCCTAATATTCAGCAAAAACCAACAAATAAAAACAATTAAGAAATAATACGATGAACCATCTCTACTTTTCTTCAATGTGAAATAAAAAGAAAAAGACAGATTCAGTCTTTTCTCTACTTTTGGTATAACTCAATTTTGAATTTAGTTAAAATTATAAAAATATTGCTACCACACTATCAAGAATGTGCAAAAACAAAACCTACACCAAAAAATTGGCACAACTACAATGCTAAACTAAATTAACAGTGTTTCTCTTAGGTTACATTCGAAATATTTGGAATGACAATGTTTATGAATGTGTCACAAAATATTATGTTAAGATCAATGAAAACAGAGTATACTTCATTTATATTAGACCCATTTTATACTTTCACACTCTTAACAGTTTTATAACTCTTCCAAAAATGTAAATCAGACTTTTAGTTACTTTATATGTCTTCATTGATGTGTACGGAGAAGCACTTTTAGATATGCATACAATAAACACCAACAAAAACTAGCTAGGAAATACATTCCTAGGTATCCACTAACAAAATCATGATTAAATGTGTCACATGGATGACAGTTTTTCTTAGCTTTTATCCAGGACTTTTACAATTTATTAGAAAAAAAAAAGTTTCTTCACTTATTTGATTTTAAAAAACATCTGACAACTTAAGACATAATGACTTGAACACAGCACTACATATCTCACCATTAACAGGTAGGACATTAGTAGTCAAATATGAAATTATAGAAAAATATTTAGTAAACAAAGGTGTCCTTAGTGGGAACATGGTTTACGAACACAGGTCAACTTATTTTAAACAATTATGTTTAACAGGAAAGATACAAGTTTAAAATATTTCAATAATTAGCTATTTTTTTCTTAACAACAAATATTCTGTCAAACATAAGGGTAACAAATGGGCAGTGTATACGTATTTCTTTCATGATATAGAACAGTACCACAGCAAGTCAATCATTAGTTTAACTACCACACTTTTTTTTAAATCCAATGCTTATTCTATCAAATATGCAGACTTTATAGTGAATACTAAGCGCTTGTTTAAAGCATTCCCAAAATATTAAGTTATTTTGTAGCTCTTGGTTAACAATTCAAATACACATAAAAAAGATTTTCAAAGAAAATAAAAAACAATACCCAAGGCATACAAGTTGTTCACATTATATAAAAATACAAACAAACTTGTATACCAGCATAAGCTTATAAGTATACGATTGAAGCTTTTCAGTTCATCTGTCCATTATAAATTTTAGGTTGCTCTAGTAATTCATACAACATTCAGCTTCATATTGTGCAGGTACTACACAGATGTTTACTATTACACTATAACATCATTATCAATTACATAGCTCAAATAACAATGTACTTGTACAGCTTCTCAATACCTCATATAGAAGCACATGCCATGCTGGATCTGTATATTTTTAATCTAACTAGGTTTATTGCATTTTATTACCTTTCTGACGGCTAACACAATATATAAAAAAATTTAGTGTCACATTTGAATATCAGTGTCTAACTCTTAATTCCTTTTGACCTGCAGTCAAACACTGGCAAAAACAGATAAAACAAAACCTCCTGCACTTATCTAGCTGAAGTAGAAAAGGTTATAGTCTCCTAAAGAACACACAGTTACCAATAACATTAACGACAGTCCATTGTATACTAAACTCTAGAAAAATGTTGCTTAATTAAAACCTCCATATTTGAGGAATCTTGCAAAATTTTGATGTTACACCATCCAAGCCATGACCTAACAACTCCACCACATAGATAATGTCACACAGGACCAACCTATCTCCTTCCTCTTTTATTTAATAACTGCAAGTTTTTAAATGGCCCCTTAATGTCCAGCCTGAAAATGCCCATGGTTATAAAAGCATGTCAAAGCTAGGACTTTTATGATGTCAGAATGTGAAAGACTGGTGGCTCGGTTTTCTTAGGTGACGATGGAAGATGTGTGGACAAGACATACCTATAGCCTTGGAAATGACCACTAACAGCATACTATAGAATTATACATTATTACGAACTTTTTCATAAAATGAGATCACTAAATATCAATGAGCTACAAAAAAATTAAGTACAACAATACTGAACATCACCATAATGAATAGAATACACTGTTGGTTTTAATGTTGATATTTCACTTTTTTTTTAAAGAGAATGTGAAATTTTCTTTTTTCTCATTCATCATTTGTTTACAATCAACCAACTTTTCATTTTTTATCAACAGGTATACTTGAATCTTTGAAAAGCTTTACTCAGAAAAACATTATAATGATTTCATAATATCATTCAGTTTAAAATACACACAACTTAGTCAATGGGAAACTTAAAGTCTTGAATGTCAAGATATCAGTTTGTTTTTGAGTAAATATTAATTTAAACATTTATTAAAAAACTGACCTATAACATTTGAAAGTCTCACACACAGCTGTAATTAATGCAAGACAAATTACACAAGTTTGTTTAATAACTGAAATAACCATATTAAAGAAGGTTGACTGAATAAATCAATCAATAAATAAAGACCAAGTTTATTCCATTCTTAAAAGTTTATAACATGAAGAGAAAACAAGGCTCAATGGACTCCATCTTCAAAATATATAACATATTTTTTTATACATCTGCCTTATGATTTAACTAGAGCTTTACTTTTCCAGGATTTTATTAATTAAAATAAAGGCTTCTTTATTCTAAAAATTAAACTTTTAGAAAACATTCATTTCACAATGCGCTTTGCTTTTTAAAACATGTTAAGTAAAATAACTGAAAATACAAACAAAACAAAAACACTATAATTTTAATGTTATGGCTCGTATTGTAAACCAGAATGATATTACAACACAAGTGTGAAATTTGTTTTTTTGTTATATGCATCATAACTGTATAAAAGTAAAATAACTTTACCCTCTATCACAGTCATCAGAAAGCATATAAACTTATCTTTTTCCAAAAAAATCACCAAAAGTGCAAAAATGTTATCACTTATTCACTGTACTTAAAGCGATGTGAAATACCATATAAAGTAGATTTAAGCATTAAGTGTAAAAACCAAGTTGAGATACATCATAAATAAAATCATGGATATATTAAGTTCATTCACGTAAAATTTAGCTAAAAACTAAAAATTTGCAAGCTCTAAAAACCTGGTGAATTACTTTTTACTAAAGTATATAATTAATTATTTCATTCTAAAACTAATTTATTATAAATTAAAGAGAGAAAAAAAAAGTTTTCATATTATGAACAGTTTACTAAAACTGATAACTAGTTAGTCTGCAAAATATACCCAAGTTTCAGCTGAATTATCTAAAGAGTACCATGAATACAAATATAAAAAAAAAGAAGTTTTTATGGAAGAGGCACTGGGATATTATTTTTATTGTATGTTTGAAAGTGCTCATTTTCACAAGGCTTAGGCGTCAGATGAAGAAGTGCATTGCTAGTTTCACGCTAGCCCATAAAAGATGCTAGCGTGAAGAAACCGTTAGCAGCGCCGGCTTCTCCAGTACTCTTTATATTCAGTGTAACTTACAGTAAGTTTCTCACTTTGATAGCGAGTTAGTCTGACAGAACGACGCACTTCATTGGTGATAATTCCTTTATAGCCTCCTTTTCTTAGTAGGGAGTCAATTGTTTGGATTCGATCCCAACCTGAATAAATTAGAATATATATACATATATATCAGGCTTACAGATTTACATTTCATATAAATACAGTTGTATATACCAGATCTTGTAGAATTTGCAGTAACCAATTTTTTATTCCAGTATACAGAACCTAAATGATAGTGATAACTTTTCACATAATGAAAGACATACAAAGTCCTAATATATATGACATAAAAAAATACTCTCCAATACAGAAAAACTGTTTATAATTAATAATAGTTTTTCTGTGTGTGTGTGTGTGTGTGTGTGCATTTGTGTATATGTATGTATCTTGGGCATTTTCACAAGTTTC